TTGTTATTCTGACTCCTCCAAGGACTGTGCACACCTTAGAAGCAGAAATGGGTGGCTTGGTGCCCGCTACACTCAGTACGGCGCCTGGTACATAGAAGGAACTTTATAAATTTTGTCGAATGGACATCCAGATGAATTAATTTTAAAAAGTGTAGTAGTTGATTTTGGAAGAAAACATCCCAGAGACACTTAAAACTGCTCTTAATGAGAAGTACCAATGTTTTCTAAATTAAATCACTAGGTCTAAAATTATCACCCTACATTTGGCTTCTCCCTCCAACGGCCCTGAAGCCAAAACAACTCAATTCCTACGGAGAACACATCATTTGCCGTCTGCAGAGATAAAATCTCCCCCATTAGAAGCATTCCTAAATTTCTGTGCTTAGAGTGACCTTTTAAGTTGCCGCTGTGATGTCATTAGTGTTACAATTTTATGCAAGGTTAGGCGTGTAATTATGTGTTAAATAGTTCCACTGGCTCCCGCTTGCTGTTTAATAAAGCAGAGTGTATTAAGTGTCCCCCATATGCATAGCTCAAGGCCACTGACACTAGAAAACTGCATCCGCTCTGCTCTTTCTCTGCCTCATGTCCCACTCGTCCTTGCAGCTGTCACCTCAAGGTCTCAGCACTGGCAGGAAGTAAGCCACTGCACAGAGTAGCATTCATAGAACTGTTACTCTCCAGTGGAAGCTTCTGGAGGCAGGAGGAGTCTCCACAAAGACTTCGACTTAAATGAAATCAGACCCTGAGAGTCTGTACCAGCGTTTCTCACCTTGGCTGCACATCAGAATCACCTGGGCAGCTTTCTAAAAAACTACCAACACCAGGGACCCACCCCAAGAAGTTCTCACTGGTCTCGCTTGAGACCCAGGCACCAGTAGTTTTTACAGGTTCCCCCAGAGGATTCTAATGTGTGGCCAGGGTTCAGGGTCACCATCCGTATGCTCCTTTCACTCAGGATGGATATCAGAACTTAACGTGAAAGAGGAAGTATTTCGGATTTTATTATCTCAGTATCTCGGGAAACTGTTTTTCCTCTATTAAGCGCCAGTGACCGTAGGAAAAAAAAATCAATAGTCTCAATGCATAGGCACAAAGCAACTTAATTGAATTTTTTTTACAAGAAGATAAAATCCAATCCATTTGCTTTTAAAATTAATAGCAGGGGGATAAAGAAGCACACTAGTGTTAGAATGTGCCTACTATGTGCCTTGACCTGTTTGAGGTACTTTTGCATCTATTATCTCATTAATCTTCCAAGCAACTCAGAAAGGCAAGTGTTATTATTCCCATTTTTATAGCTGAGGAAACTAGGAGATGCAGAGACGTTAAACTGGTTTATCCCAAGTCCCACAGTCGGTGGGTGGTGATGCCAGGAGGCAAACAAACAAATAGGCCGCATCTGGCTGTCCTGCTCATCTTGTCATTAGGCCATGCTGCCCTTTCTAAAGAAAATCTGATTGATAATTCAGCAAGCAACGGAAACTTTCTGTCCAAGTCAATGAAAGAGACAGAGGGAGCAGGACTATCAGGAGAAGGAAAGAGAGGAGGTGGGGAGTGGGAAGAAGGAACAACATACCGAGCCAAGGGAAGGATCTGGAAGGAAACAGCTGCACCCAGCAGTAGTGAGCCACATACAGGAGGCCAAAATCAGTACCGATGGTCATGTTTTCCAGTAGATACTTAGATGGTCAAGGCAGCAAACACAACCAGTGTGTCACTGTGTGTGTTGCATTGTGCATAAGACACAGTCCTGCCCTGGAATGGCCACAGCCTAGCAGGGCATCCAGGATAAACTGTGCCTTGCTCTAACAGTGGTGAGTACCAAGAATTGGGAGCAGAGCTGAGGAAGCAGCTCATGTGGATCAGAGAAGTGGTGACGTCTGAAAAGAGGAACATTGGAAACAGAGAAACTCATTCACCAGGCAGGGAAGGGAGGCAGAGAGAAAGCACTAACTGAGTCACAGAGGTATAAACCCACAAGATGAGTGCTTGACAAATGGAAAGGGGCCCTTTATAAATTCCTGAGACAAAGAAACTGTTACATTCTCCCTGACTCCTTGCTTTCATTGAAGGCTGAGATTACGTCCTTTAGGGCTTCTAGTTTTCAGACCATACCCATCTGCAGTCATATAGTCATGGTTTTGCCAGATTCTTCCCAATTCCTGGTCATTTAATGATGGAACTAGATCCAGGTTTCTTCCCCCTGCCCACAGCCCTGTGCAGCCACTAACACAGATCTCTGTTTCATGCTAGGAGTCCAAATTACAAAATTTTATAAAGTGCTTTTTGTTTCTATATCACTGTCCTAAACACCATTCAAATGAATTGTTCCTTGTCTTACAACGTGAGCAGAGTTGAGGCAATTACTTAAGGAGTTCAGGAGGGCTGCCTTTGAGCTGAGCGAGCCTCCAAACCAGCTTCCAATTACATACTCTGGTGTTTCTTTGAAGCCTGAAATTGTTTTTAACCTCCACAGAAACTTTATACTGTTGTCCCTAAAGCAGCTACTCCTTTTCATTTTAATTAACAACAAACTTAGTAGGTTTTGAATAACAGTTTGTCTTTATGAAAGAAAACTGGAGTGAAGAAACTCCAAATCCACTTACCGGCGTAACCTAAGGAGTCATTAAGTCCCTTCCAACAAGCTTTAGACAGTTAATTAGAATAAATATATCTTTCATCTCCCCCTTTCGGTATCACCTTAAAACAACAGAGCAAGGGTGAAACGCTGGAATAATGACACACAGTCTGAAAAGTATCCTAAGTATATTAAAATCATTGCAGCCCATTTCACTTGGAATAATTTCAAAGCATTTTTATATATTTATATATGGTGTGTCTATTAAATGCTGGCTAATAACCAGCAACAGGACAGTAATTTATTGCTTTACCTTAACTTAAAATGTGCCACTTTTCTTTGTCTACTCCATGTCCCCAATCCTTTAGGAGAGACTAAAGGCATCAGAGGATTCCACCAGAGTGAATGTTCAAATAACTTCCTAAAAGTTTAAGCCAATCGTTCATTTAAGCTAATCTAAGTTCATTCAACTTAGATTAAAATCATTCTTATTTCCTGAGGGCGGACTGGTTTTAATAATGGATTTAATCTCCATTCTATTTGAGATGTTTTCAAGATGTCCAAAAAGGAACATAAACAACTTTAAATCACCCAGATCCAAGTCATTTAAAGAGCTAGCAGATTCAACTTCTAAATCTTTCTAAAATTGACTAGGACATCCATTCAGGTGTATCGTTTCATTCCACCATTTGTCCTAGGAGACCACGAGAGGAAGTATAACTTCTTGAGTCTGTACTGGTTACCAAACCCCTGCTACCTCCCATGGCCTCTGTTCCTCTATCTCTGATGCTGACCCGAGGGTTACAGGAGATCTATTCCCAGACAGTCAGGACACAATAACATAGAATATGCCTAGACTCATTCTTCAATTAACTGAATCACAAAATTTTGGAGCTGAGAGGTATCTTAGAAGTTATCTGTTTCCAACTTTCCATGTTACAGATTAAAAACAACTAAGCCCTAGAAATGGTAAGTGACTTTCTCAAGGCCACACAGCTAGTTAGTGACAAAACTGGGCCTATAACCAACCACTGACTCTGAGCACATGCTCTGAACCCTTGCTGCTCAGTGTTTTCTGCAGACCTTCAATATCGGCATCACCTGGGAGCTTGTCAGAAATGCAGAATCTCAGGCCCCACCCCAGACCCACTGAATCAGAATCCACATTGTTACAAGATCCCCAGGTAATTTGTACGCATATTACAATTTGAAAATCACTGGGCTGACCATAATGTGTCTTTCTCCAGAGAGTATGAGAATTGGAAGCAAGCAGACGTTGGTTCAAATCATGGCTCCACCTTTTCTAAATTTGAACAAGTATCTCAATCTCCTGGAAGCATCATTTGTAATCTGGAAATAATAGTACTATCCATCTCGCAGGGTGTTCATAATATAAGCATAACAGATATGTGCCTATACATCTCATGATATATGCATAGATAACATACGCAAAGAGCCTGGCATGCAGTAGCTAATAGAGTATATACTAGCTAATATTATGTCCAGTTTCATGCTTACCATTAATATTGTACTCAATCAAAAGGAAAGCCACGAGTGATTGCGCATCCATGAAGGAATCACCTTCCCTCTTTTATTCTATTAGTTCAATATTGTTTTAACTTTTATATGTGATTAAGAATTCTATGATAATTTATGTTTCTAATGCCCTAGAAAATGATTATTGTAGAAAATGAATAATAATAACTAACTACTTTTAGTGCTATGCTTGGAGATGAAAAAACTCCTCCCTAAGCCGAGTCATAATCAAAAGGACACACCATTCCTCTAATATCTTGACTCTGGATCCTAGAAACCTGGCCTCTAGGAGCCAGAGAGTATCTGCTGCCACTGCTGCTGTGATTTTCTCAGGCAGACTCAGCCACCACGGGACAAACCCACAGCTTTGGCAACAGTAGAGCATATTTAGAAGATGATGTTTCATCACCAACATGTCACATCTGTCAGCATAAAGGAAAACAGAGGAAAGGAGAAATAGAATTTTAGTATCCAAATCTGAATCAAAATTTTCGAAAAATATAGTATACTACAGAGTGAGAAACCATACCAAAATTATATTTTTGGAGAACATTTCAGAGGGAATATGAAATTAACATCAATTAGAAAACCATGTTTCCCTAAGGCAGTGGCTCTCAAGCCTAGCAGTGCATTAGAAACAACTAAAAGGCTTTTAGAAAATTGAATGCACATTTCTGAGGGAAGGGCCAGGCTTCCATGTTTTTTAAAAGATTCCCAGTTGATTTTAATGTGCAGCCAGGGTTGAGAACCGCTGCCTTACGGCAGCAGAAACCTGGTCTTATTTAAGAGAGTCAGTCTGCTGAGAGCTGTTGGTTGCTGTTGATATAGAGTTCCCAAAACTCAAAGTAATGGATTTAACTCCAGTGTGTACCTGTTCCAGGTCTTTTCGCCATTCCTCCAGGACTTCCACCATAAGGAAAGGAGCTCCTGGACCATCATCCTCTAAGATGTTTATATGGACCAGTGGCCGGACCTCTTCATCTTACAGACACGATGAGAAAAGGTAAATCACCGGGACTCTGGAGGCTTTTCAGAATCATTTAACTTAACTACCCAGAGAGGATGCCACCAGGAAAGCATTAGGCAACTGAGTTTTATGTTGTGCAAGTGTTAATGTGGGATGGGCTCTACATTTGAGGGAGTGGGTTCTGACACTTTGGCCTTCCTGCTCCTTGCACTCTCCATGCTCACTCCCCCCACATAGCTTTGCAAAGGCTGTTCCCTGTCAGAAGTGTCTTTCACACAAGCACATACACACCCACTTGTTACTTAGCTAACCCTAGCTCTGCCTTCAGATGGCCATTCAATCGGAACCTTCCTCCAGCCTCTGGACCAGCACAGACTTTGTGTTTTGCTCTCTTGAATTTCCAGCACCTATCACTGTACCTGGCCCATAGTAAATGCTAGATAAATACTGAACTGAAGTGATTAAAATTGCATCTCTAGGCACTGGACATATGGCAGGAAAGGAAAACAGAAACTGTGAGAGGGTGAGAAGAGGATGGACAAGTCCATGGAGCCCTCAAAGTCCTTGGAATAATAGCCTTGGGTAGGAGAGAAATGGGGGAATAGGAAGAAAAATTAAAAGTCAAAGGCAGTGTAAATAAAATACAAAATGGTAATTATGCAGCTCAATCCAGCTGTCCCTCTGGGTTTAGGGAGTAAATGCATTCAAAAAATTCTCTGGCCATTTCTAAATATTTGATTTCTCTCCATTTGTTTTCTTCTTCTGTGTCTCTCTCTTTCTCCTTGACCTTGTCCTGTTACTTGGGTCTGGTGAAGCTCAATTTTAAACACAACTGCCTAACCAGCATATTGCAACTTAAGCAAGGCTCACCTGCCTGCAGAATCTGATAGAAATCAGGATTGATAAATGGTGCCGGGCGCAAGAAAGACCTGAGAGAGGTTTAGTGGAATGTTGTTTTGGGAGCTGGTAATTTTATTTTTCTTTTTAAAATCTGTATTTCCCTATAGATAAAATCTTTTGAAAAAATTCTGAAAGCAAAATTGTTCTTCCTAAAAATTATATATTAGGGCAAAAATTTGGAAGCAACTTTAGTATTCACAATAGAAAGTCTGTTAAATAAATCAGGGGATGTAATATATCACTTAGCACTTAAAAATGCTTTGACGTAAGATTAACTGAAAAATCAAGTTGAAAAATTGCATACAAACTATGATTGCAGCCACAGAAAAATACAGATAGGAAAAAGCCTGGAAGGAAAAGTGTGTTTTTACTTCTCCATTTTCCAAACATATTATCTTAATTATGGAAAAAATAATGATACAATGTCAGATTACAGCCCTTAAGGCAACCAGTGTTTGAACAAAGTCCTGGTGTTCATCATGACACAAGCAGATCAACTGAAAATTTACTATCTTTGCTCATCTCTAGGTTTTCACATGCTTTTTCTCGATACTTACAGTTATTTTTTATTTGCTTTCAAGCCAAGTTGAATCATCTTTCAGCAAGATCGTTACTGTTAGACTAAAATTTCATCTGTCATTTCAAAATTCCATAGTTTGTACGTAATCTCCTCATTTCCTTAAAGAAAAAAAGTCCACTGCCAGTGATGGCAGAGAATGGCAGAGATTTTGTTGCCCTGCAGCAATATTGTGACTGTTAATGGCTAGCCCTCCTGAGATTTCGAAGGCTTCAGCAGAGTGGGTGAAGTGTGATGTATTTGCTTCACATCCTATTTATTCTCATCAAATAATTTAATTAAATACATTTTGATTTTTTTTTTTACAGACAAAGGGATTAACATTTAAGAAATTACTGTGTGCTACATCTTTACATTAACCGTTCTCCTTTCATTTAAAAGATAGGGATTATTATGCCCATTTTACAGATGGGGAAGCTGAGGTTCAGAGATTTTAAATAACTTCCAAAGGTCCAACAACTAGCCAGTGATGGAATCAGAATTTGAACCCGAGGTCATACTCTCTCTGCACCCCATGGCTTACATAGGCTCTTGTCAAACATGAGATATTTGGAGCAGCAGTGAACAGCCACACCCGCAAGGGGAAATTTGTATTAAAATACAGCCTAAAATTGCTTATCAAAGGAGATAAGAAACATGTGAATATGATATTTTGGCAATATTTGTGGAGTTAAAGGGAGCAAATAATTAGCTCCACATTCAGCACCAATAAGATTCTATGAAACTCTTAAATTACTACTTTCTTTTTTTTTATTTTCAAAGTCTGATTTCAGTAACTATGAGATTTAAAATAATTAAAATATTATTGACTATAAGAAATCATTTTCAGCAAGCTTTATTTATGCGATGGTGCTGCCGACGCTTATGAAATCAACCTATGTGGCTTTGTCCCACCAAGTCAAAGACAAACGGAAAAACAGGCAACGAATACAGCAATAGGATCTGCTGCTAAGCCGGGATCCTTACTTTGATGTTGGTTCATTTGTCTGCACCTCTTCCTTGACCACACCTTCGTCTCCTCTGCCTAATTCACAGACTCTTGTAGGATAAGACTCAGAGTTTCAAACTGACTTTGAACAACATCTATTGTTCTGCTTAAGATGCTCTGGGTGGCAGTAATCGTGGTGATAATGAAGGCGATGATGGCTAATAATGAATCTAGATAATTAAGGTCCTCAAGTTAATTATTTGGAAATAGATTAAGTGGGTTGTCTGGAAGGACTGCCCAGAACTGCTGGTAATTGTGGCACCCTCAGTTTCTTCTCAATCTGCCAATCTGTCCTCTGTGGGTCCAGCTTCTCCAGCTGTGCTCCCGCGGCAATCCCGGAGGCCAGGAGCCAAAAATCCTCGGCCCCACTCACACCACGTCTTCCCAAGACCAGAGCCAAACTTCTCAGAATATTGGCTTCCCTGGGATTCCTCAAGAGGTGGAACATCGGGAAATAGCTTACAGGCAGGCAGAGCAAGTAAGTGGAAGGAAAAGTCCACCCAAAATTCTGAAACCAAATGTTGTATAGCTCAAGGGAAGTTGAAGTCAATTTACATTTTTTCATTCTTTTAATTCAAATCAGTCCTTTTTCTGATCATCTGCTACATGCAAAACACTGATTTCTATCCTTATCCTCCCTTTCACATACACAGCAATATGAAGGAACAATTTTTTCTTCTCTGAAAAACTTCTTTGGTAGGTGAGCTTACTTTAATCCTTGTATTGCAGGTAACAAAATAAAACAATAGCAGCAATAACTAATTTAGAATTTAAAGAAGAGAGAGGTTACCAGCTAACGACATTACAGCTGAGTGTTCAGCAAATATTCTTTGCGTTGTTTTTATTAAATATTGAACTGATATAAAGGAATATTAATCACATGTTAACATACAAAGAATAATGATATAATAAACATCTGAGTACCCTTCATTGAGCTTAAAAATTTAAACAATCAGAATTTTTGAAGGCCTTGAGGATGCTTCCTTAATAGCATCCTCCTCCCTATCCCAGCCCCAATCCAGAGATAACCACCATCCCCAATTTTGTGTTTATCGTTCCCTTGCTTTTTTCTTCATGAGTTTGTCCCATTTGAATCCTGAAACAACACATAGTTTAATTTTGAATGTTTTATATAAATGGAATCATACCATATGAATTGTTCTGCAACTTGCTTTTTTCACCAAACATTATGTTCCTATGATTTATCAGTGCTGATGTGAGTAGCTGTGGCTCATTTTCTCTGCTGTGTAGTGTGCCGTTATACGAATATACAGTCATGTGCCACGTAACGACGTTCTGGTCAACGACAGACCACATAGACAGTGCTGGTCCCATAAGAGAAGTACCGTATAGCCTGGGTGTGTAGTAGACTAAACCACCTATGTTTGTGTAAGTACACTCTATGATCTTCAGGCGACAACGAAAGCCTAACGATGCGTTTCTCAGAACATATCCCCGTTGTTTTTTTTTTTTTTTAATTTTTTGTTTATTGCAGTAACATTGGTTTATAACATTGTAATATATCCCCATTGTTAAGTGGCGCATGACTGTACTACTATTTACTCATCCAACCTACTGCTAATAGACATTTGCATTATTTCCAGTTCTTTTTGTACCAGCAATGCTGCTGTAATACCTCTTGTTGATGTCGCCCTATACAAACGTTTCTCAGGATATATTCCTACCTTGGGAATGGTTGGTTCAAAAATATGCCCAGCTGCCACTTTACCAGGTAATGCCCTTGCTTCCCAAAGCAGCTGTGGCTGTGATTCCATTGCTCTGCAGCCTCGCCTCGAGTTTTCAGATCTCTAATTTCCGTCCATCCACAGGATGTTGTGCTTTCAATTCCCATTTCTTACGTCGCTAAGAAGATTGAGCCTACTTCCCCAGTCCTGTTCTCTGAAGTGCCTCTTCAAATATGTGGCCCATTTTTCTGCTCTATTGTCTTTTTCTTATTGATTTGTAGGAATTCTTTATAAAAGTCTATATTAACCCTTTGTCTGTTTGTTGTGTGCAAATAGCTTCTTCCAGTTTGTTACTTGTGTTTTCACTTTCTTTATGATATTTTTTCATGAACATTATGTTCTTGATTTTAATGTGTTCTGAGTTAGCCATTTTTTGAACATTTTGAAATTCCTTCCTACTCCAAGTTCAAAAGGGTATGCTCCCGTACAGTTTTCTTACTATTCTGTAGCTTCGCCTTTCACAATTAAGTCTTTAATCATCTGGAGTTGACTTTTGTGTATGGTGTGAAGTGGGCATCCAAATTTTTTTTTCTGTATGGATAACCAATTGCCCCAGCACCTTTTGGATGGTTTATCCTTCCCCAGTGATCTGAAAGCACACATGTATCCATATAAATTTTAAAATCAGCTTGTCAAGTCACACCTGCCCCACTTTCCAAAAAAACTCTTGGGATTTTTAATTGGAATTTTATGAAAGCTATTAATTAATTTGTGTTAAATTCACATCTCTGATATGATTAATCTCTACATTAAGTCTTCCCTAGTATCTCCCAAAGTTTTATAATTTCTCCAAACAGAACTTGCACATAGTTCATTAGATTTATTC